AATAAATAAATAAAAAGATATATATTAAAAAACACACACACACAAACCAAACAAGACTATATGAAAAATAGGTCTATCAAAACTGTCCCATGAACTAGAAGCATCGTTCACATCATCAAAAAGTGCATGCTGTGACAAAACCATCACTCATGTAAGAGGGTGAAACAGCATATGTAGAGGGGACCAAGCTACATGAGATAGCATGTGGTAAAGCAGAGACAGAGATAAAGTAGTAAATATATACATTACAGAGTGAGTGAATAAATAAATCAAATGAAGTTTAAACTGCTTGGACCATGCGCTGACAACATACAGACAGTGGCAGTGACCTGACTCAGTGACGATAAACACTAAAGATTACAGTCCATCCTCTGAAGGGAGGAGCAAAGAATGATATGAAGGGTTGCCACTTCATGTCAAATTTATCATTTGAACCCCTCAGAGAATATTTAACTTTCTCAGGCTTGAGAAAGAACATCACATCTGTAAGCCAAATAGAAACGGAAGGAGGCTGTGAGGATTTCCAATGGAGAAGAATTCTGCAACGTGCCAGAAAGGTTGTAAAAGCGACTATGTCTGCTTGCATATAGTTTAATAAGAACAGATCAGTGGGGACACCGAAGATGGCTGTTATAGGGCATGGTTGCAGATTGATCTTGAGAACACCAGAGAGGCTTTCAAAGATTGAACGGTAATAGGTTTGCAATTTAGGACAGAGAGCAAACATATGAGTGAGGTCACAAGGGGACATCTGACATCTGTCACATTTGTCATTTACATTTGGATATATCTTGGATAGCCTGGATTTGGAGAAATGTAATCTGTATAAAATTTTGAACTAGATGAGCCCAAGATGAGCACAAGAGGATGTGGTTCACACTCTATCAATCGCCTTATCTCACCATTCCTCAGCGAGTTCAACTCCCAACTCTTGTGCCCAAGTAGTTTTAATTTTAGTTATAGAGTGAGCACCCAAATACATAATAGATGAATAAATGTGGGAAATGGATGCCCTCTGTCTGGTCTCTGTATGAGGTCCTCCCAAGGTTCTTTAGGCGGTAGAGCAGGAAAGTGGGAGGAGATATAGTGTCTTACCTGAAAATAATGGAAAAGATGGGACGGGGGCAAGGAGAATTTGGAAGCCAGGGTGAGGAAGCTAGCAAAAGTGTCACTTATAAATAGGTCTTGAAATGGTCTTATGCCTTTCCTTTTCCAGAGAGAGAATGCGTTGTCTATTAAGGATGGGGGAATAAGTGATTTCTATCAATTGGGCCCTGAAGGGATGCAGAGGAAAGCTTAACGTGCCTGCGAAACTGGTGCCAAATCTTTGGCCTGGAGATTACTATGGGATTACTGGTAAAGCGGGAGGGGCATGTTTGGAGGGAGGAACAAAACAGAGCAGGAGGGGATGCTGAAGTAAGAGACTGGGCTTCTAGATGGCACCATGAGGTATCTGGAGCATATAGCCAAAATGGCAATTTCTGGATATTCGCTGCCCAGTAATAGTATAAAAAGTTAGGAAGTACAAGTCCCCCACTTAGTCTGCATCTCTGAAGTAGGGTTCCACTGACCCTAGGCACCCTCTCTCCCCAGATGAGCGTAGTGATGGTTTGGTTAATTGATTTAAAAAAAGATTTGGGTGCCAGGACTTCTGTGAAGTTGTGATGTCACTGTGATTTTGCGATAACAATAACAATCACTTATGGGTAGACAAATGGCAATCTAATGAATGGCGGAGACATGTGGAATTGGCAAACTTGATTATTTCTGTTGTCATTTTCAGCTGTAACTGTAACATGTAAAGATATGTGGTTAAACCCGGTGGTCTGATCTATGCGATGTTTCTGCAGTGCTCATTTTATGTACTGCCCTGCTTTGCTAGCGCTTTTCATGAGTCAAGTCTCTGCACTGTTGTGGATGGCGGCTACAGCAACATGTATTTCAGTCACCTAAATAATCACTATCAGTGTAAGAGTACGCTATCTTTGGAATATTTTCCCTGCTTTTAACACCAATTGATAGAAGCTGCTTTGATATAACGGCTTCAGCTCCCAGTCTGAAAAGGCTGTCTGACGGCAAGGTAAAGGTGAAAATATTCTAGATATAGGGTACACTTAAACTGATATAAATTTTTTATGTGGGTAAAAACTAATCAGTTAAAGCAGATTTGCTCAAAGCCGTTTGATTTTATGTACATGACAATTTTTTTAACATTACAACGACCAGGTTACGAAAAGACAGGTATGAAGGCTGCCATAGAAGAGTACTTGAAAGACACCGTCAGGCCCCCACCCATCCAACCCTACTGTGGAAGCAGGGACCTTAATCTGGTTTCCAACTGCTGTCATGAACAGGCCTGGAGGGGAACACTGGTGACGAGCCTGAAATCCGAAAGGAGATAGTTGGGGCACAACTGAGGCGTATGTGGAGGACAAATCAAGATTCACAGTGAGGGCACAGTAAGTGCAATTAATACAGACTCAAAGACTGAGAGTTATTTGCTATTATTTCCTTGTCTCTGCCAATTTACGGGTAGGCTATGCTAAGATGTGGTGCAGCTTCATCTTCCACAAGACTTGTGTGATCAAGTCACACAAGCCTTGCTGGAACGCTAGTTATTATCTGGGCAAGGTCAGTGCTTTTCTTTTCTTCACAGATCAGCAGATGAAAAGATTGAAACCACTCTCTCAGTATCAATCTTCTCATATAACTCTTTGCTGGAGAGCCAATGAGTGTATTTCCCAAAATGTCTCAGGCTTATTCTTTAGGCAGTAGACTGTAGTTACCATGGCTACCATTCTGTGTGACGTAGTTGTCAAAAACAGGGACAGCATGAGATGGAAGAGGACCCATTTTGTATGTATAAATTATCCCAGCTGGCAACAGATGACAATATGATGTCAGACTCTTAAAATCAGGTTGACGAAATTTTAAATGTCTGACGATGTTAGAATTTCATGTTGTGTGGACGTTAACATTGTGACGTTTTGCAGATGTTGGGTTTTGCTATTCACACCTGTCAATATTCTACATCAAGATGACACTTGCATGAGATATTTGGAAGACACTGTCTTAAAACCAAAAGAATATCAACATCATCTGTCATCAGTATTCTATGTCAAATTGATATTGGCATTAGACCTTGCCCTGACATTGAATTCTGGTCACCCAACATCAGAACCTAACTTTAACCAAATATAAACGTCTAATGATGTGGGTGGCCAGCTGGGATGATATATTCGGATCATTCTAAGGTAACAAAAACACAACAATTCTTATTTTCCAGTGATTATAAACTAGTGGAAACATAGTTAAGAATATCATATACAATTTCTGCCAATAACCAGCCAATATTTGTATGTGGGGTCCATGTCAGTAGTAAACAGGCTGAAAAATGGGCCATATATGGGACTGTTAATGGGTTACATATTTGCCCCATGCCAGTTGCCCACATAGATGGGTTCACTCAAGTGGGCCCCAGATAAGATGCCCATTTTGGGCCCATACCCACTTTATACCCAAGGAGCCCTAGCATAACCATGCGGGGCCCACCTGGGTACAGCCAACAATGTGGGTAATTGACCCTTCGCTAAGTCCCGCCCCTGGACACAGACTGGCCAATCATGGTGTAGCATTGTGCCGGCTTAGACCAGAGTCCGACAACAACACAGCTGAGGTGCAATGCAATGCAATCGTTTCAGATTTCGTTTCTTTTCAGGCTGGTTTGTGGATTTGAAGCTAAATGTTGTGCCTGGGGCACGTCGTGTATTAATGATACTCGTTACCTGGAGAGGTTGGAAAAAGATATACTTTATAATTTCTTCCCTGTTCCAAAACCTAAATCAGACCCTGAAAAGTGTAGGGTTAGCTAGCTAGCTACTGAAGATAAAGCCTACTGAATGTACACACATGCTGCTTTTGCTTTGTAATGATTGGGACCAGTGAAGGGAAGCAGGGAAACTTTGCTGATATTCAACCAGCTGTGTGTCATCACAGTGTGCCCAGATGAACGTTTTTTGACTTCCCCTGCCTGTCCAGGAGGTCCAGGTGCTGGCAGCGGCACAGGGGCGAAGCCAAACACCGTTCATCTGCACACACAGTGATGCCACACAGCTGGTTCAATATTAGCAAAGTTTGCCTTTATATTTATTGTCTTCTGTGGCGATCAGCAGTGATGTGGTGGTTCACTTTACACTGTGATCTGTAGCCTATAGTTCGGCTTTAGCTTCTAACTATCTTTGTCTTTTTAACCTGTTGTTGCTGCTGAGTCAGTTTGACATCCTGGATATATCCTTCAAACACAGACTGTAGACCCCTCTGTCTGCTTCATTCTGAAATCACTGTTTCATTTTTTCAAAAAAATATGATAATATTTCTTCAGGGAGTGCAGTTAGTTACAGTGTGGGCTCCATGCTTACTCTGGCAGCTTGTTGGACCATCACAAAGGGGCGGGGCTTAGTGAAAGGTGAATTGGCGTGGGGCCTATATATAATATGGAACCCATGGTCAATCCCATATAGGGCCCGTTTTCAACCCATTTACTACCCATATAGGCCCCACATACATATGCCGGCTGGCCAGATGCCCCTAAATCCCACACACTGGACCTTAAGATTTTCAATGCTGGACTTTAACCCGTAACAAAGTATTTTTACACTCTTTTACTAAAGTAAAATATCTGAATACCTCCTCCACCCCTCCCTGTCTGACACACAGTGGGGTGTACATGTAAAGGCACTAATGAACCGCCCCCGCCCTGACATGTCTTCATGCCTCCTGTGGTAAAGGTTTCCTGTGTTGCGTTTAAGTATGCGTGTAAAAACCAGCTCCCGCCGCGACCGCTGGACTCCTTCCTCTCATCTTTGGAAATGCCGATTGATTCAAACGACCGCACGGAACAGCCTGGAGGCGGTGTAAAAAAAAAAATAAAACCCTCTCCTCCCACCGCCTCTCTGTCCATCCCACATTTCAGGACTCACCGTCAGACACACGTGTATCTAATTTAGGTGACTGTGCGGCGCTGTGCCCCTGACAACACAGCGGTTTCCGTTAGAAGGAAATGATGGAGAAGGAAAGTTTCTGACGCCTCTCCGTTGTGTTGGGACTGCCCGCAGGAAAACTGAATATCACTCCTCGCTATGCGCTGTTTGCTCGTCCTCGGCATAACGCACAGATACTGTAAATCTGAACAATCTGTATGGATTTGGGATGAATAAGGTCTCCGACACTGAAATGTCTCAGGATTGGAAATGCAGCTCCACGCCTGCCTGTTGCTTTTTATTATCACAACAGGTAAGGAAATCTACCAGTCCCTGGAATCTGCTACAGACTTCATTAATGTGTTCTCCTTTTATTATCGCATTGAATTGAACACATACTTTACCTGGAAGTGCTAAATTATTATCTGCTCTTTTCAATGTAGTCACAATTGTGCTGCTCCACTGTCATAATGGAAAGGGTCAGTAGGGAGCCAGGTTTATGTAGTTTGTGGTTACCTGATTGCCTCTGGCCCAGGCCCAAATCCTGGGGTCATCAGATTAAATGGTAAAAAAAGAAGGGGGAAATATTTGTGATTTTTCTTTAATCTAATTTCTCTTTTTTTGTTTATTTATTTTTGACATTTCATCCCTTGATGATGCAGAACAGTGGTTCTCAACCTTCATCATGTCAAGGACCCCAGACCACAGTGTGATAAGATTTGCTTAACGGACCTCCATCTGAAAAGATTTTAGTTGTTAGATATGATCGGAAATACTCACACTATGCTCACCCCTGTAGTGTATTTACGGTTCAGTGTGAGATTTAGTGGCATAAAGTGGTGAGAATTGCAGATTGCAACCAGCTAAAACTTCTCCCAGTTAGGAGCCGAATTATCGGCAGAGGTCTCTTCCTCTCCAAAATAAATGGACCAGGTGATTAAAACAAGTAAAAACAGAGTAAAGCCGTTTCAAGTTACAAATCAGTATTTCTTCGATGCTGCTTGGTATGTCAGGGACAGGTGGCTCGCCCACACCTTGCCAATGTGTGCTCACCTTTATCCTCTGATAACTTAAGATCCAAATGCTCAGGGGGTTTTCACCAGGAGCTGAATTATCCACAGGGGTCTCTTCCACTTCGAAACAAACGGCTCAGGTGATTACAACAAAACAAAAACACAGAATAAAGCAAACTGACATTACAAATCAGTGTTTTCCCAATGCAGCTCGTTGCAGATGGACTTCTTACTACAGTGGTCAACAAGAAAACGCGAATGACCATATCTAGAGCCAGTGTTTGGTTTGTCCGATCTGGGCTACTGACCCACTTTCTGTGTAGATATACATGGCTCAGTGTAGTGTAAGGTGATTATGTACTAAAGCAAATGTACATGTCTGTCAATATATGCCCCTACATCCTACACACTGAACCACACAAGGTCCCCTGGTTGAGAACCACTGGTGCAGAATGATACCCCTTTGTCCGAACTCCCCACAATATATACCCATAAATGAATTAGTTTTCACCGTAACATACAGATCAGGAGATCTATGCCAGAGTAATACCCTCCTTTACCACCATCTTTTTTTCTTTCCCCAGATAAAATATTGGCCTTGTCACCCCTCCACTGTGGCGGGAATGTCAGCCTGGACACAGAGCCTGCAGATCACATCAATCTCACTCTACCTGGACTTTCTACTTTTGACACCAGCAACAGACTCAACCCCATGAACAGTCAGTCCGACAAAACCCTACCGGTTTCAATTTGCACTTGGACGATAGGTATTCCCAGGGGTCGGACGGTACTTATAAAGTTAGCATGGTTGGAAAGTGGTTCGGGTGTAACAGTGCGCTGTGTTTGGAAAGAAGAAGGTCCGGTCTTGGAGAGTGGGGGGACGGCTCTGCTGTCAGGCTGTGATGGAAACAAAGCCACCTTGACTTGGACAGGAGCAGGACGATCCTCAAATCCAATTCAGTTGTCCTATTATGGTGAGAAGCCATTACTCAGTTATCCAGTTTGATTTATTGAGTCAGGATGGTCCACTTTCCCGCACCCTGATCACGAGAGTTTAATCTAATTGTCATAATAGCATTTAGATCAGACTTGTCTTTTTAGTTGACTGGATGACTGCATGAAAAGTATTTTGTTTACAGTAGAAGAATATCATGGATACTTTGGCTGTGCGACTGTGGAAACATATTGTGTTGTTCAAACTGTGCTGTGAGCCATAAATCTGTCCGTCGGAAAGTTCTTATCACACTCACCGTGGTGTGAGAGGCAGATAGATATTATGTTGTTGTGATTTCCACTCTGTCTCTCCTCACTCTCTCTGTTTTTGTGTTTGTTTCTGGCCATCCAGTCCAGGAAGATGAGAGGAATTCCTCGGAGGACCACACCAGCCCACACTCAGGCCGAGACTTCTTGCGATGGTCTCAGACAGGAACCAGCTTTACAAGCACAGCTCCTGTTGGTCAGGAGGTGGTAAGAGGGACAGAGGGGAGCAGAGGTCGCCTCCACGAAGGTCTGGAGGGGAGCTCTGAGGCTCAGTCTGTGTCTAGCCCCTCCTCTGAGGACCAGGGGCTGCTGCACCCCACCTCACCCCTGCAGGGACTCGCTGTGGCTGGGAGAGCCGATAGGGAAACTCTCCCTCTTCCTGAGGAAGGACAAAACAATGGAGCGGATACATCTGGAGCTGCTCACCTCGCTGATGGTAAAATGCCTGCCAGAGGGAGAACACACCCCTATTTTCAGCATACACTCAGTACAGATACACCGTTTCACACAGCAAACAGAGGAACAAACTCAAGCAACGAGCCCCCTCACACCCAGATGGCACTGACACACAAAACAGACAGGAGCAACAACACCTCGCATGGCACAGATATACACAAATATACAGACACTCAGAAGTCTATAATATCTATAACCACAGAAGCTCATCCCACTGTGTCCAGCTCCCGCCTCCCATTTCTCACCAGCTCTCCCCCTGAGCTACCTTCCCAGACAACCTGGGAGAGTGGAACCATCCCAGTCCCACATGATGGAGCTGTTAGCAGGACACCTGGAGAAAAACCACCCCATTCCTGGAGGAGCCAGCGAAGCACAGACAGACTTCACTCTGATCTGACCTCCGCTGTCACCTCTGATCTTTTAAAATCGCCCACTGAACCTCAGCAGGATGACTCGAGCAGTGCGCACACTGATACTGAACCCACTGCGTCATCCTCACAGGGCCCCAGTGGAAGTCAATCATCCTCCGCCCACCTCACAGGGCTTGACACCGCTGTTGGTACTGTGGAGGCTGCTTCATCTCATCCAAACATTAGTCGAGCTGACTCCTCTGTATCAGCAGCATCAGACGTTACCAGCCAGACTGCTGCGTTTGAGTCCTCTGATAAATTTGAAAACATGGAGATGCTTCACACTTTCACTCCTTCCACACAGACACAAACAAACTCTCCACAAAGCACAGAGAGCCTCCCACCTCCTCACACATCCTCCCCACTCACACAGACAAACAAGGATGAGATGCAAACAACAATAACCCAAAGTACACACAGGCATTTTGTTAATGCATACACGACTACTGAAACTATCTCCTCCTCGCCTGACGTTACCAAAGTTGATGACCAGACTTCAAGTTTCACCGGTCCTTCCTCTACACCCACAGCAGCAGTGACTTTGGGAGATGTAGTCCAGAACTCAGCTGCCACAGGAACCACCACTGACACTGGATCATACACACTGCGTCCCACTTACACATTCTTGCATGACAACTCACCCACAGATTCACCAACTCCTGCTCATCTTTCATCCTCCAGTACACCCATACACTCATCCACGACTTCATACACACTCCAAGCACACACTACAGTTCCTGGTAGTTCACACGTCACTCACACACCCCTGTTTTTGTCCTCTACTAGCACTGATTCCGCTGCACACACACCCCTCATTGACCCCGAAACAACACCTATACCCACACAGACGTCAACAGTCAAATCACACACACCTCACACACACAGCCACCTGCCTCTGCCATCCTCTACTAAAGTCCCAGTTATACATAAACAGCCCCACAGCTATTTTACTACAACACAGACTTCTCTGCTCTCACTCACAACTTCAAAGTCAAATCGTGGTTATGGAGATAAAGATGTAGAAGTAGAGAAAGAGGATGAGTCTTGGCAGCGGTTTCTCAGCAGCACAACCAAACAAACTCCCACAGCTGGAGCCCCATCCCGGACAACCCCACATCCCACCACCCAGGACAAACATTTGACACTCACACCTTCTGTTTCAACCTTTGTACCCACTTGGACGTCCACGACTCAGACTCCCAAGTTCTACATTGTGTCGGACCAGCCTGCAGCCATCAGAGGTACTGCACATATTTGTGTGTAATTAAATAATAGGTTGGGAGTGTCCAGGCCTGTTGTAATGAAATTATTTGCTCGTTGTGTCCAGTGGAGTCGATTGAGCTGCTGCTGCAGATCATTGTAGAAGAATCCAGACCGGCTTTTACTTCTGGTTTGGAGGAAGACACCGCTTCCTGGGTGAGAGCCAGACGCTGTAAACATTTGGGGCTAATCTAAAACCTATGGGGATTTAGATTGATTGATTAAAAAAAAACAAACTTGCTTGTCAAGCAAGTTGTTTGTTTTTTTTGTTTGTTTGTTTTTTGTTAGTTTGTTTTTTTCTGCCAGTCAGTGTGCAGTGTACTTCTGGGGATGTTTTTCATAGTGAGTGCTTGTCATTGTCACGCTGCTTTTCATTGCAGGCAGCTGCAGACACAGCCCCATTAGGCTCCAAAATAACGTTATCTTCTGCCTTCTGCTTAGAAGTACTGGATTTACACCTCACAGCTACCTAATATGATACAGTCTCTGGCTTTTGTTTGATATCTGTTGTCGGCAGAAACTGCTGTTGCACATTTCCAACCTGTTGTTAGTGTAGTTAGCTTGTTTACTATACATCCAAACTCTGAAACTTTATTTAGAAAATAAAGGAATAAATAGTAGAATATTCGTATTGAACAACCAAGTCTGACACAACTCTGAGTCAGGGACAGCCCTTGAAATGACAAAGAATCGGGGCTTTTGAGAAAACACTTGGGGCCGGAGCCCTAGATGCCCCCGCTCCACCTCTGGTAGCTGCTATTAAGTTCTCACTCCCTGCTTCTTACAGTTGGAGCCATACCTTCAGAGAGCCCCGGGGTTCAGCAGGTTGCAGGGAGTCTGGAGCAGGTGAGGTCTTATAAAGTACATATGTGTACCATAGCTACAGTAAACTGCAGTTAGCCTCAGTTTGTGCTTCTCATGCATTACCATTTAAATTGTGGATATACCTTCAGAACAGCAGTAAGTGTTGTTAAATGACTTTCTGGATTTTTCAAAGAATACCAAGTAGGTCTTTTTCAGAACTTTGGGTGCCTACCTGTAGCTCTAACTTGAATGTAATGGTGACACATGAGAAGCACAAACCGGGCTAGGTTGTGTGAAGAGAGGTACAGAAGGTGAATGTACTGTTGTTCCAGCGGCCATGCAGTGCAGAATCTGCTGGAGTTTAAGACCAGTGGGGCTCTGCAGTGGCTCGGCATGACTGGACCCACATCACTGTTGGAACGAACAGGACTAGCTCAGGCTGTGAGTGAGGGCAGAAGCTTCAGATCCTCCAAGATCACCAACATCACACTGGGAGGTAAGCCTGGGTCGAGATGCAGACGGCTGACTCAAGATTCCTTTTAGGGCGCCCCTGGTGGCCTCGTGGTTTAGAGGTCTTTTGTGTAGGATTAGTGGCATTTAGTAGTGAGGTTGCAGAGCTGAAATTTGTCCCATGTGCCAAGTGTGTAGGAGAACAATGATGGCCAACACAAAATCGTAAATGGCCCTATCCAGAGCCAGTGTTTGGTTTGTCTGTTCATGGCTACTGTAGAACAACATAGCGGAGTCAGTGGAGGACCCGCTCCATATGTAGATATAAGTAGCTCATCTTAAGGAAATGAAAACGCAACGATACTTACATTCAGGTGATTATACACTAATGAAAATATAGTTATGAAAGTTATATAGCATTTCTGCCAGTAGATGGCCCTAAATCCTTCACACTGGACCTTTATGTCGAGTTTGGACGGGAACCTTTAGTTGCATGTCATTCTCCTCCACTCTCCAGTCATCTCCTGTCGACTCTCCACTAAAGACACAAAAAATACTTTAACCGCCAGGTTAGCCGTCAGCCTCAGTGGCTCCATTTACCTGGGGGGAAATTCCATCCCTAACCTGCTTACCTAATTAACCCAGATTCACACTGGCACATAACCCAGACTCATGTAAACATCATAACTTGGTTAGATTGATTCAGTTAAACTCACAATCCAGTTATGAGAAATCCGATTAACACGTCTGCCTTAGTCTGGTAATAAACTTGTTACTGTGGCATGTAATCATCTCTACTGTACTCTTTTGACATGTTTGGTTTGTCACATGTATAAACACAATGGCACAAGTGTTGTGGGTCCCTGTTTGTGGGTGACAAAGTAGGTTGACAGGTTTTATTCTGTTGGTAAATATTTGGGACATAAGGGATACTATCAAATAATACAGTATTAACAATCCTCAGCCAACTCAACATGTAAAAATAGTCACCAAAGTCACACTACATAGACTTTTAAAACCTGTACTATTTTATTTGCTAGTTTTCTAGCACACATGTGGCCAACCATCTGTGAGGTATTTAAGCTATTGTTTTACTGGCAGACACATTCAAAGCATCACAATAGTAGTGGTAATGTTTCTTTCTTTCTTTTTTTTTTTTTTTAAATCAACAAACCTCTTGAAATAATCCCGAAACCAACAACAAAATCATCCTGCCAACAAGTACAGTCTCTGTATCCAAAGTCTGATATGTCTTATTCCTCTGCAAGGTTATTGTATTTCACTAAAACTACACTAAAAGTAATGGTGTGGTAGTTTTCCAACCACTCAAATTTACCCATTTGCACACACATTCACACACTCGTGGCTGAGGCCATCATACTAGGTGCCATCTGCTACTCTCTTTAGATACTGACACGCTCACAGACTGATGGCACAAGTATTTTGGGGGTCAGTATCTTGCACACGAATACTTCGACATGCAGATTGGAGGAGCCAGGGATCAACCACCGATCTTCCAATTATAGGATGAGCTGCTCTACCTCCTGAGCAACAGCCACCCCCATAACTAGGTATCAAAAATTTTGTTAGATGACTGAAATCAAAAGGGAATAAAACTAAAAAACAAAACTAACTGAAACAATATTGTGAACTTACAAAATTAAAAATAAAAAATGTACAGGAAATGTTTAGTTTTAGTCTTTGTCAATTTGGTCAAATTTGTATTGCTTGTATTGTAATACCTATTCTGAACTTCTTAATTTTTTCCCCTGACAAATACCCCTCATATTATAGTTATAATTTAAAAATAAAAACCAATACCAAAACTAATAAAAATGAAACTGAAATTAAATATTTTTTAAACAATAACAACTAAACTGAGCTCCATTTTTGTGCAGAAACTGTTACATAAAACATAAATGAGCCCTACTGGGTGCACTGGGTGCCATGTGGCATCAAACTACTGAACGTCAGTGCCCAGTGGTTTTTGGACATTGCTATTCCTGTAAAAAACAAACAAACAAAAACTATATATTTGTGACTCTCTGGGGGTTTGTATCCTAGAGTTACCTCTTCAGTAGGTACTGAAATGGGTACCTTGCAAGTGAGTGTCACAGACAGGATAGGAAAGTCATAAACACAGTCATTTAACACACTGTTCCTCCAGGTCTGCAGGGCGATGTGTGTGACTGGTTACTGCAGTGTCCAGGAGGCTACAAGTGTGTGTTCCAGCCTGGTTCGTCTAACTACAGCTGCTCTTCTGTCTGCCACTTTGATTACTGTCACCACCACGGCATCTGTACTCACCACCCGAGTCAACTTCCAGTTTGCCGGTAAGAGAACACAGACACACTGATAGATACATTAATTTTGTATCTCTCTGTCCATCCAAGAAAGTTCTGTCCATGTAAGCCTGTTTTCTTTTTCCTTATTGTGTACTAGTTGCCTTGTAGGAGAGGACTTCTGGTACATGGGCCAGAGGTGTGACATGAAGATGACTCGAGCACGGCTCGTGGGTGCATGTCTTGCCATCTTACTCGTCATGGTGACAGTGATCGGCGTCTTGGCCCTTGTGGCAGTGCGACGATACCGAGCCATTCTGATCCAGGCCAAAGTAGATCAGACTAGGAGCAGGTACTCTACGACTGACTGATGTGCACATATAAAGTTACAGCTCACAGCATACAACATGCAACATTAAGATTAATACACATAATGCACAGAAGCGGGGATTCTGCGAGGTTGCTCTAGTTAAATATTAGACTTGTAAAAACCTTTTTAATACAACATGGAATTCAATTTATTACTGATTTCAAACTCTTATGGGCTAAAGTAAGCAGGGATGATATGACCAAAATTTAGTTCTTATTATATTACATTTTTTCAGTGCTTCCATAAAGTATAGGACAATAATTTCTGATGATATAATTGATTAAATTAATAAAACGTGAACTCACAGCCTCTTGCGCACAATCAACTGGCGAACCTATCCTACTTTTACTTAATCCGTGTATAACTGCATCCAGTAAACTGTAATCTGATACAAAAACTAGGGCTTAACAATAGTGAGAAAAAAATATCTAATTGCAATTATTTTGACTGCGAATTGCGATATGATTTGCTGTATTGGAGGGTATTATCATTTTTATATCTTCTCTGTATTTTTAATTAAAAACATATTAAAATGATTATGGTGTAATATTTGTGAGAAATATTTTAATACATTACATTCAAGTATTTTAATAAGGCCTAATTCAATTATTTTAAAGACTTTTAAAAACCTGCAGATGCCCTATACATGAAATATAATGTAAAATGTTTAGAGGATGATTACCTTAAAAGAAATATTCAGAAAATGAATAAAATGATCAACTTTGCTTGTGTGGGCGATGAACTGTCTCGAGGGCTTTTGGGTGGAACACAGGAAACACACGTTAACACACACAGACACATATGGTAAACATTAACATACATATGACTCTACATGACTTGAACTGATGAGACACACATGGAAATAACTCAGTAGACACCATGGAGGCGGTGATGTGTTGGGAGGGGAAAACTAGATAGTGAGATGGTATGACTGCATAAATAGTACTTGTAATGACAGTAACATCCACTAGGTGTCAGAGTCTGGCTGCTGAACCACACGCTGAAGGTGAAGGCTGTAGACTTTACAAATGTGGAGACACTCTGGCTGTGAAGTGTTCACTGTCACCACGTCAAGTCTGTTAGGATGCCAGGAGTTGAGGGGATTAGATGTGTTAATAGACAGGACTTAAGATCTGACTCACTTCTGTGGTGATGAATCACAATTCTGTTAACAACCTCAAAGTGTTCCTCTGAGCTGTTTTCAAAGGTAGGCCTACTGACGACTTCAAATATATGTACATATATATGAGTATTATGGCTTAAAAATGTTCTTGTTGCATCCATATTGCTATAGATAATTTTCCAAGTGAAGCCTTGGGAAATCTGCACCCCTAGCAGACTCTCTGGAAGTCTGTAAATAGTCTCTTTGAGGGCCCTGTGTACTTGATGAATTGTGGATATATACAGCCTTCAAATGTATTAGACTGCAGACATTTTGATTCAGCATCTTAAAGCTGCACTTGTCAAGATTTTTATGTTCCAACACTTGTTGTCTGAACCTAAATCACAGAGTTTGTCTGCGAGAGGGAAGAGTTTTATTTATCTTAACTGAGACACTAGTTTCATCCTGAGATTAACTCCCAATACTGGGGGGAAAGTTCAGACAGACAGTGATAAGTCTGAAGTTAAACCTTAAATCCAGACTGTCTCCATAACAGCAGGGAGTAGGAATTCTGTCTAGAGAAAGTTGGACTCTTCAGAGCTTTACTCAGAGCACAGTTAAGTAAAGTCAGTCCTCTTCCTTATTAGTTGATTTTTGCTTTTTTCCCCCACCAATGAGACTTTTAAAACTTGTTAACATTGTTATATATTTGTGTGTGTGTGTGTGTGTGTGTGTGTGTGTGTGTGTGTGTCATAAAAATGTATACAGATACAATAAATCTAATAATATTGTCCCCTGTGAATATTTATTTATCCTCACATTATTTGTCGTGTGTGCAGCTATCGCAGGTTCAACCATTTTGATGAGCTGTCAGGACGGTTCTGGTTGCGTTCGTGGGCAGGGTCAGCAGACTCGCTGGATAATCCTGCCTTTACACGCTCCGATGAGTTACTGCACCTGCGGGCGCTCGACCGCCCTTGCTGTTACCACGACGACACGCTGTCGCTGGCCTCCACCTGCCCCAGCCATGGAACACGCATCAATACAATCTACCCCCACAGGTACACACACACACACACACACAGTCCAATATTACACATTATGGTTAATATGCCTAAGAGTATCAGAATGTTATTGATCATGTAGGGAGCAAATATCATTTTGTCCTCCTCAATCTGTCTGTTTAAAACATGAAATACACACTACAGTATGTAACATGCATGTGCCTGTGCCCTGCTGTCATTTGTACACCCTTAAAACAACATCAAATTTAAGCTGTAACCAAGAAAATAATGATCAAGGCAAAAACAAGTAAGCTAAACTCGAAGCCCACTCAAAGGTATTCTATGCAGGATTGTCTGTTACTGTTTAACATGCTCAGCAGCTTAAGTGAAAATAAAATCCCATCCCACATTCACTCTCATTTGGCACATCACCTCACTATATCAGTGTTTATTTATTCATTTTGTTTTTATTTATTTTATTTATTCCATTTTATTAAGCCCTGACCTCACCTGAGCGCTGTGGGGATACATGGCCATAAACCTCCTGTACAAATACAGGCAGAGGGCAGAGTCTCTGCACATAAATACAGCACCACACTCTTCTAGTGGGCCATTGCTTATGATTTAGTGGCATTACTTTTGTATGAGTCAACACATTGTTCTTTCTTTAGGAAAATCCTGCGTAGTAGCCTTTATCTTTAATATACTGTACATAAATACCTTTAAAAAAAGTTGAAGACCTTAGTGTAAAGCTGCCACTTGGGGGCAGCAGAACAAGTTTTAAACACATAGTTGACACTGAAGCAAACAATGAAGATGTCATTGGCAAACAGTTGCTTATTCGCATATCCAGCAGACCTGGAACTACATTATCATTTGAAATCGTGTTTCTGGCCAAGTGACAAAAGTTAATCAAACATTCTCATGACCTCTTGTAGCTCAGGAGGATGGAAATATTTGGCTCTTTAGCAGAAGTCTTCACTGTGTTCATCAGCTGGTTGCAAACTATCTGTCACTTAAAGCTGGGCCAGTCCTGTGCAGTGATTCCTCAGAGCTTTATCACTGAAAACAGCTGCCTACATCTTGCTGTGACTCTCATGAGGATGAGACACTGGACCAAACACGAAAACATTAAAATTGTTGGCCATAAAGAAAACAAAAAGAAAACACTGAACTAAAATGTGTTAAAAAAGACCTCTAAAGGCCGAGTTATGTGATAATTCTCTGTAGGTTTTTCATTCTCAGCAGCCCCTTGCAAAGTACACGTAATCATTTCATCTGTTTTTGGTATAAAAATATTGATCATATTTAATGTTGGGAATGTTACATTTTAAATGTAATATGTTACAGATTACTAGTTACCATGCTAAAAATGCAAGAAGTAATGTTACTATTTTAATTACTTAATCAAAGTAATTTAAATTAGAACATTTGACTAATTTTTGATAACTTTTGTGACAAATGTTTTAAACTTGGCAATAAAGCTAAAAGAAAATCCTAAAGTGCATAAATGTTGCACTCAAATTTGTCCCAACGTCTCTGCTGGCTCTTGTTGTCCAAAAATATGTTAATAGAAGGCATTCCTGTATGGCAAATGCAGAACAGAATAATAGTTACATTTTACATATACATTTTTACTAAAAAAAATATTCACATGTAACCCCTTTTGTTTTTATTAGTTACTGTAATTTGATTATATTTTTCAGTGACTTTAATGGATTACAATCATGTGTTTTGGTTATATCAGCTTTCAACACTGAACGCTGTATTTAATCTAAGTAAAAGTGAGCAAGTAAAGAGGTAAAAAGGTAAAAAAAAAAAAAAAAAAAAAAAAAGCAATTAATGAGTGCAATTTAGTGACTGTGCAGTTAAAATACTGACCTTAAACTGTTTTCCCAAACTAGAGCTGAATAAATCATTAAATCCCAATATCAATTACTAAAACTACATTTCTGGCACTATTCTTTTCTGACTGCTCAAAGTTTTTCTGTAAGTTCTGTAAGACCATGTCTGTGTAAATAATCCCTCGGCTCTCTGTATGCCCTGTAGCTCTCAGTATGGTTGGAGGGGAAGTGAGATGAGTATGGGGGACGGCGTGTTGGACTCGGGTAAGGCCAGTGACCTCTCTGTCTGTAGCTGGCCTGTGGAACCCATTCACTGGACTCCCTTCCCACTTCTGCAGCAACTGGCTTCCCACAGGACACCCCCAGTGAGTGTTTGACTGTGTGTGTGTGTGTGTGTGTGTGTGTGTGTGAGAGAGAGATACACACACACACACAGAGATACACTGTATGCATATCTGGTTTCATTTGTTTTTTTCCCTGTGAAACCAGGTGAGGGTGACAAGGCCGCGCTCCTACTGTGAAGGCATGGAGCTGGTGGACATGGGGAAGAGCTGGACTGCTTGACACAGTCAAGCTGTGGAGAGGAATCAAATCTGTTCTGACACTGGTATTTGCAGCTTGTGCTTTCATTGTAGGCCTTGCTTGTTCTGTTGATAAAAAACTGTAAAACAATAATTGTAAATGTGTGTGTGTGTGTATATAAGTGTATATTTCGTGTTAAAGTGTTGCTACATTTTCCAGTTTGAACCTGCAGTCTGTTTCTTATATGCTCACTGGATGGATAAACTGTAAAGATGAAAAAACAAAGAGGATGTCTAAACGTCTGTGGCGCAGAGTCATATATATAACTTTAATAAACAGCACTTTTACTCAGGGCAAGAATACATTTATTGTATTTTTTGTAGTTTTTAATTATACATATATACATAAACATTTATAATTTCACAACCAAACACACAGAACAAAACAATATCAAGAGTAGAAATAAAAATAAATGAATAAAATAAAGAGAATCAGGGGTTGGGCATATTGGGAATGATCTTTTCACTCCGAGGTCATCGCATAGCAAGGAAAGTTAATTTGGGTAACTTACTACATTTACAGAAGCTTTAAACAAATATATTAAAGGTGCAGTGTGTAGGCTGTAGGAGCACCTATTGGCAGGAGTAGAAAATAATACTCATAACTGTTTTCATTAGTTCATAATCACCTGAAAATAAGAATCGTCTTTTCGATACCTTAGAATGAGCTGTTTATATGAGCTAAATGAGCCGTCTACATACTGAGCTGGTCCTCTTCCAACGAGTCAGCCATGTTGTTCTACAGTAGCCCAGAATGGACAAACCAAACACTGGTGTTTTTGTATTTTCGCACAGTCCACTTTAGTGGACCTTTACAGCATTTTACAGAAACCGCAGCCAAGACCATTAAACATAAAAAAGACATAAAAGAAATTAAAAAGATATGAATAAATTACTCCTTATCCTTCCAAAATATCTTCTGGAAGTTTGTTCCATTTATAACTGGATAACAAGCTGGGCAAAGTAGGTAACTACCCCCGGGCCCCAAAAGCCCCAGTTTGTTGTTTGTACGTAATTTGATAAATCCCAAATGTGTTTAAGAATTTGCACAGCTCAAGTACACTCTCAACTAAGCTGTGTCCCATATTATTGCTAATCATGTGCTCCTGTCTGATAGAGTGATCTTGTGTCAAAGTCTAGTTTTTGGTTTCTTTCTCATTTTAAAACGCAGTTATCACATCCACAGTCAATATAAGTGGATGTACAAGCAGTGAAAATGAGCATCAGCAGACCTAAGAGTGCGGGAGGAAGTGTGCCGGTGGTGGAGCTCAGACAGGTTGGGGGGGAGCCAGGTTGTGGAGAGCTTTGTAAGTGATGATGAGGAGTTTGGAGTGAATACTCTGGGGGATGGGGAGCCAGTGGAGGTTATGAAGGGCGGGGGTGATGTGGTCATGGGTGCGAGCAGCTGAGTTCTGGATATACTGTAGTTTCTTGAGTGTTTTGGCTGACAAAGACTATTGCAGTAGTCTAGTCTGGAAGTGATGAATGCCAGGAGGATGAGAGTGTGCAGCTGAAAAGGAGAGGGATGGATGGAGGCAGGCAGTGTATGAAAATGTCCATCTTTAGGTGTAAAGAAAAAGTAAGCTTTTCCATCATGTAAATCTCCATTGTTACACCTATCCAATTATTTATAATGGGACCAAGATGCATCATTCATCTTCTGGTCAGAGCCTTTCTCCCTGCTGCCAATACCTAAATGTATGACTTTGAAATCTAGTGGTATATATATCCTTCTGGTAATTCTGTTTGGTTATTCCCATAAAACATGGTACCAGTTTGCAGCTTGACACAATTCCTCCAACAATGAGATATACTAGTGTCATACTGTACCTTCATAAGGGAATGATGAAAAATCAAACTACATTTCCCCAGCAGAATTCTTCCCATGCCTGAGATTTTGTGCTCAAGATCTTTAGTTTGAAGACTTAATTAGGGACCGGAAAACATGTTTTCTGCCCCTCAGCCCACTCATCAAGCAACGGCTCAAGCTCTGTGGTTCACACTGATTAAATGCTGCCTCTGCATGTTCAGTTTGAACTCTGGAAATGGTTAACAGACAACAGAGGCCAAGAGGACGCATATGATAAGAAGGTCAGAAGTGTATTAAGGTCTAAAGCTCTGTGAAGTAATAGTAAATTTAACTGTGTTTAATGACACCTGAGAATTGGTGTCATGTGTTCACTTTTCTTTGTCAGACTGGAGATTGGGGGGGTGGATTTCTGTCTGGAAATGTGTGTCTTCTAATTCAAAGAGTATCTCACTCACGTCTTCCTCTCTCTGTTTCACTGGAGCACACACACATGCCACACTTCCTCTGAATGCAGCTGGAATGTGATGCCATAAACGACTGGTAGGGAGTGTTACGGGCAAATATGCACACTGCATTGCGCTCCTATAATTGTCCCTGTCCTGGGAAAAGGAATAAGTGAGTGATTCATTTGGGTCGAAGGGAAATGTGGCGTATAAAGGAAGAGAGTGAATGTGTGTTTAAGGGAAGGAGAGAGAGGGAGAGAGATAGGGATGAGTGAAAAGTGGACAGAAGCTACCTGCTAGCTTCTTCCATATACGGTCTTAGTCAGAGCCGAGAGCCAGGCCTGTGAGTTTCTCTGACTGTGTGAGTGAGCAATGCAGGGAGTGTGTACATGTGTGCGTGTTGCAATGCATGCTTGAGTCACGCACGCCACTGAGTTATGAAATGGCTTGGGTGTCCGGAGGAAACATTGAGAAATATCTGCCAGGGAGGAGTTGATGAGTATAAAGTTTAAAAAAATATATGTATTGAAAAATGGTGTTATCTCCCTCCCTACATGTAATTCTTCAGGGTCTGATGAAGAATAGAGAAATGAAACCCAAGGCAACACGCACATGCGCGCACACACACACACACACACACACACACACACAGCCTTAAAAAGGGAGATTCATTCATTTCCTCAGAGTGGTCACATGACCTCAGCAGTGCATTCTTCCCCCCATGTGACTAGCTCCAATATCTCCTTATATGGACGTCATCCAAAGAAACTCTTAAAGGGATGGTTGTCCTGCCCTGGGTCTATACTTGGTGTGTGTGTGTGTGTGTGTGTGTGTGTGTGTGTGTGTGTGTGTGTGTTTGTGTGTGGGTGTGTGTGTGTGTGTGTGTGTGTGTGTGTGTGTGTGTGTTTAGTGTCTGTCTCGAGCAGGATTTAATGCCACTCTGGAAATCCAGCTCCCTGATCAGCTCATTCACCCCCCTCTATGTTATCCTTAGCTGCCCCACACCTGATGACCTGTGGGTGCTTGTGTGTGTTTGTAGGTCTGTGTGGTCACTTCCTGCGTGCATCTGCAGAAGTGAAGCGCTCTGAAACCTACTTCCTGTCTCCTTTGGTGAGCCGGCTCCCATATATCCTTATTAGGAACACATAGAGCCACCGAGAATTCCTACTGTAAGTTTATGAGTCTTTGTCCGGTGCCCTTATTGAGTTAAAACAGCACCCTGACACACCCACTTAAGTCTCTGGTCAACTTACAGTATGAGATGAGCTTTGCATGATGACTTCCAAGTGTGTTATCATAAAAGAAAAAAATCTAAACATGTAATACAGGTTAGAGATGCACCATGCCTGTGTGTCATACTTGGGTGTGTCTATGAGCAGGTGTATATGCATATCAGCGTGAGTCACATTCCTGAATAGTAATTTCATTTCAGCACCAAATATAGGTATGTACCGGAAAGTGCACACCTGTCTATTACATCACTAAAGCAAGCAAGATTAACCTGCACCCTCCACTCACTTAAGCATTACATGCGATGAGAGATAAGAGATTTACACCCTCCTAAGTGTTTGCTGTAAACATACCTCAGCTTGACCACATGTATCACTGTCGCTCTGATCTGCATGTGTGTGTGTGTGTATGTGTGAGACACTGGTATGCCAGGCAGACGTGTTAATCAGGGTGTTAACAGTGCTGTCAGTGACCCCACGTCCTGGCACTACTGACCACGAGTGTCTGCCATGAATTTGCAAATGCATTAGCACAGTCTTCAGTGCAATCCTTTGCATTCCCTCAAATCCTTCACTTAAACAAGATGAATCACGGATCTGTTTGTCTGCACTTTTCCACCAATGCACAAATATAGAGCAGAAGACAATAGCATGCGTATATGAATCAAATGAGACTTTGTGTAATCAGGATGTGTAGGCCCCCTTCCCAATGTGCATGATGTCATGGATTAACACTGTAACAGTGGAGACAGTTCAGTAGAAAATAACATAAAAGCACATTTCAACTTGTTTCACACTCAAGGACTCTGCTGGGTGTTTTGCAGCTGTGATTTGTTGCCCATGTGTATATCACCCACATTGAGATCATAATAATGATGAAGAAGGATATAAAAATGTGTTTTATTGAACACTGAACGACCCCAGATTGGTAGTATTGATAGTACATAGGTTAGTTTTGGTGCTGCTTGTCCCCCCTGTCTTGTCAGAGCGCAGGACCGTTATGCATGCGCCACACCCAGTGGATGCGGCAGGACCAATCAGAGGGCGCCGTGCGGAAAGTTCTCCTTTTATGGAGAGGGGCTGCAGCGCGAGCTCTGATAAAACCCTGCAATTTATTGGCGTCCATTGCAGTCAAGTTCAGACATTAAATCCTACCGGAGTGTAACGCTCAGTCACAGCCTTCCTAACGCCGACAACCCTTCCTCTAACAGGTAAGACAACTGCGGTGCGACGATGAAAGTTTCTGTCACATTTTAAATACCTTTGTTTTAACACAAGTGTGTGTAATATCACAGCCTGGCGCCAGTTAAGTTACGATGTGGGGTTTTCTGTGTGACTTTCAAGTTGCAGCAACCGTTACAACTGCTAACTGAAATTCACGTAGCCTGTCATTCATTACATGTCTTTGAATGGGCACCGTTTAAGTTTAAGGGGATGCTGCCGGTAACATTTAACGCCTTTAAGTGTGGCTGTTTATCGGCATGCTGTCGTTTGTATTAAAGAGCTGGTGTGAAATAACCCGGCTGCTCCGTGCTGTCACCACTTCATTACTGAAACAAATCAGACGGCGTTAAAAAAGCTTGACCTTCTCGCTTACATATAAGCATCTGCTTTGGCACGGTCCCCGGGTCTGCTGTCTCCGATTTCACACACGGACAGATGATGGCAGATTAGACGGATTAAACTTAAAAGACTTCACTTAAATTGCATGGAGACATAAGAAAATGTTGCGTTGACATTACAGCCACAATGTCATTTGGTGATCAAGTTAACGTTACGTCTAGCAAATGTCAGAAGTTGTTATTTATCATA